ATTTTCGAATTGTGTATACATGTTGCTGCAATATGTTCAATTTGACATGTTTCGCCTGTTGTTTCACTACACATTTGAAATTAAGCTTTGAAATAAAGATAAATATGAAGATGAAGAAATAAATGATAACGGCCAAGTAAAAAAAAAGAAGGCAAAAGTGAAGATAAAGACGAAAATGAAGACAATGACAGATACATAAGAATTAGGGTAACTGAAAGGGTAAGAACATTTCTTGAATTTATGAAGTGAAACTTCTTTAGCGGCAGTTGGTTGGTTGGGAGTAAATTGTCAAGTTCAATGGGAATAATGCACATGGAAGTAGTTCTCAGCGGTTTAGCGGTTTGAGAATAAAAACAAAAACAAAGATGCCTAGAGGTACAGGCAAAAACGAAGATCAAAGTAAATTTAAACACTTGAAGGTAAAGGTGAAGAGGAATATGCAAAAATAAAGATAAATATGAAGAAAAGGATGAGGATGTAGATCGATATTGTTATCGATATAGAACTCGATATTGCTATCGATAAAATAATCGATATTGTTATCGATACTGTTATTCATTAAATAACCGCTATTGTAATCGATATAATAACCAATATAATAATCGATATTGTTACCGATACAATAATGGATATTGTTACCGATACAATAATGGATATTGTTATCGGTATAATAATCGATTAAATAATTGATTTTCTTATCTTTTTATTCATTTATATTGTTATCGATATGATGATTGTTATATATCGATGAATAAATGGATTTTGTAATCGTTGTATTTTTCTATATGTTTATGGATATTGTTATCGGTATTTTTATTGCAATAGTTATCGACAGGGTTACCGATTTAATAATCGGAACATGGAATGCGATCACATTACATGACATCACATCACATTATATCACATGATATTATGAGACATCACATTATATTACATCACATAATATGATATCACATCACACGATATCACGTGACATGACATCATATGGTATGACATCACATTATATAGTATGACATCACATGACTTGACAGCACACGATATGACATCGTATGACATGACATCGCATTACATAACGTCGCATCACAAGATATGACATGATATGGTATGACATCATATGACATGACATCACAGGATATGACAACACATGACATGACATCCTATTTATGACGTAAAATCACGTCACATCTTATCACCGTCATCACATCTCATCTACGTGAATAGAT